TGTGGGGGCGTGGTTCATGTTTGTGAAGGGGTAGACGGGATGTACTTATGCGCGTGGGATGGTATGGGTTGGGGTGTACGAGTGGTGTACGATAATCAATCGGTTTGACTTGATCATGATTACTCGCCGAACCTTGCACCGTCGCGTGTCTGACATCTGAGCTTCTCCGGATGTGGTGTATGCCAGAGTCTACTCATAGGTACGTCCTACGTGCTGATGTCTGAGGCCTGAGGTGTCGGCATATACTTACTGAACTGCCGCAGAATCGCTCAACTGGCAGGTCTTTGCTGGATGTACGCAGTGGCTAGACTGGTCTGGCCACTTGTGCGTAAGTACCAGTCCTAAACGTCTGTTGAATGTCTGTTGAGCGCTGTCATCAACACCGGCCTTCCTATAACAGCTGTCTAAGATGTTCAATGTGCCAAAGTATAAGCGAAGCCGTCCGTGCCCATGGATAAAAGCCAGTCAGGACGTTGCCTTCCGACTCCAGCAACGACCCATCGTCGATACGAATGCAATTTCGTAGCATCTCCCAGCTCTTCCTAGCAACTGCGTTGTTCACCGCGAGTGGACGTGCCGTACCTACTGCCGCTCTATGTACGTCCTAGCTGCTTCCTATTCTAACGCATCCCACCCTGCACCTTGTTGAACACCTCACTCACCTTGACTTATAGCACGTCGAAGAGAAGCATGAGAATGCGACCTCGGCCTAGGCGGCTGTATGCAAGCGTGTCACCGCGCGCATACGGGAGACGGGTTCCCGATCGAGTGTGATGACGGGTGTTATATGATGTGTGCGTTTTCCCTATCCCCTCGTCAACGAGAGCGCGTTAATCCTGATTGGAAACGGATGTGTAGGGTATGGCTGTTATTTGAAGGTGCCGGGGTGGCGTTTCGAATGAGGAAGTAGTACTTGCAGCGCGGCGTCGTATGCGGTGTAATGGAGTCACATATGTAGAGAATCCGAAAGTCTCCCCCCGAGTCAATCATTACCGAGCCGGAGCACAGTCGAAATAACTTTTAATACGTCACAGAATCAGTTGCGTCGCTCTTGTACACGAATTGAGAACGTACATATTGGCACCCTGGCTCGTCCGAAACAGTGCTGCTCTTAATTCGACGAGCTATAGCCTCGGCCTCGGGCATACGAGCGTCACAGGTCAAGGTCAGGCTTCCAGATCCAACCAACAAGGAACGGTTATGGTGTATTCGACCGCCACCTAGGCCTGCCATTCTCGACAGTTTGCAGTTGGCCTGTCAACGAGCTTAGTAGGTCGATGGGGGATCCGACTCGAGTGGCTATTATTAGCATGAACTCTTAGATTAGATTATGGCGACGAGGTCTCTGATGGTGTATCCAGACGTAGTCGATCTCTGTGTGAACAAGCTGCGAGTTGAAGAGGTAGTCGTAGCCAACAGCCCCCGAAGCGTAGTGTGTCGACCATCTAGAGTTCTCAATACTGCACATTGGCTTTAAATCGAACGTCATTAGAAGTACGCCTCCCATAGCTGACTTCCAGCATCTCCAGGGGATAAATCACATCGCGATGACACGGGCATCGACGCTTTTGACCGGTGCTGTAGTTAACAGTGACATGTTGATCCTAACATCTCGCTGTATGTTAGAGCATCCCCACCAACATCCAGACCTTGGACTTCACGTTGACCGGTAGGGAAAAGGCGCCTTTGGACTTGTGACTGCTCAGAAGATCGCAATGGTGCGAGGACAGCGATCAACTGAATATTTCGATACGCGCAGCGGCGATCGATGAGAGGAGGGAGAAGAGCTTGAAGCGACTGTCTGAAGGCAGAACATTCATGGGACTAACCGATGTGCGAGAGCTCGAAGCGGAAATCATGTATTACTCGGTGTGCGATTGTCCGACGTTCGGGGAGATGTCCTTCCGGTTTCAGTGGATATGTTCGCGGTCTTTATGGCTTGTTCCTGGGCGATGATTGTGTACATACATATTCCTATTGACAGTCTCAACTTTCAATCATCGCTGAACCGCGTCTAGCTGAGGAACCTCTCTGGCAGCAGGTCTGATGACCCATCTAGCGTGTTGAGGGGCATTGCCATGACCGTTCCCCTACTGGTATTTCGCTGGGACTTGAAGAATCTAAACATAGAGCGAAGTCGAACTCGAAAGGACGAGACTGGCTAGGTATAAATACTTTGTGCTTTTCGGAATATCTCATTCCTCAAATTTCATCGCCCTATCGAATTATCTTGTATACTACATCTCTCTACATCTCTCAACACATTGCATCATGCAATTATCCAGCACTTTTGCCGCTATCGCTAGTCTGTAACCATTGTCTCTGCTGCTGCTGTCCTCGAGGCTAAGACCAGTGCTGTGAGTACTGCGCTTACACTCGACGTCCCATGCTCCTTAATATACTGATTATTTACTCTTTATCTTAGGTTGGCCAGGTACGCATCATCGCTATCTACTCTGAGTCGTCTCTGCAGTCTTCTTGACGTAGCCTTCATTCAGGCATTTTCCCGTGCCGTGCAACACGGCCTGACCTCAATCCTCGCTACTAGCCAAACCTCCGCCAATCCCTCTCCTCCCGCCGCAGCTAAGGCTTTGGCGGGAACCGACGTCATGATCGCCTGCGACGGGTACAACTTTGCCGATCCCTGCTGGTACATCAACGTACCTACATTCAACGACTGCTACGCGTTCGGCCCACCTATCGACAAGGTCCTTAGCAGCATGTACATGTGGGACCCTTTGATTAGGTGTTACTTCTACTCGTACGCTGATTTCTCAGTTTTCACGATGTGCTCGTATAGATGATTCTCTGACATGGTTTATACCGACGAAAACAGCACGTATAATTGTAGCGACTCGGCCATGTATGCTCAGGCTAGTCATGGCGCCGTTGGCAAGATAACGCCGGCTTTTGATAACGACACTTCTTCGATCCGATGCATCGCAAACACTCAGCCTTGGCCTTAGTATACTTACCTAGTAAAATGGATGTGCTTAAATTTGTGAAGAAAGGGACCGAGAACAGAAACTTTGGATGGGCAAGGAGATTTGTAGCCAAGGGCTCGGCAATCGCATTGTCAGCGGTGTATGCTCAAATATTTCATGCTTCCGGTATGCTACCGGCGTGTGGTCTGACCTGTAATGCCAAAGCGATGACTTGCAGTACTGGTTCATCAGGATGGACCCACTGCAGCTGAATACAATGAACAGCCCAGGTGATTGATTCCATCCGATCTTCACAAGTGTGGAAGGCGAATCGAATGCTACTAGTGTTCGTGTTCACTGCCTTCACCATCTCTCATTCTTTTCGGTCCTGAACATAGCACTTGATGTGAGAACAGTCTGGAATAGTCAGCAGACCGGGACTGTGTGAAGAATACTGCGCAAAGATGCAGTCTGACTAGTACTATTGACTTGTGAACTCTGGTAGTAGCCGCTCTTAGATCGAGCCATAGGTGTATAGATTGAAAATCGCACAGCGTCTGACTAACTTCTCAGTTCTTCGCTACCGTCCTCCACCATGCCCGTAACTTTCCAAGTAGCCAAACATCCCGCCAACCCAGTCAAGCCATCGTATGATCACACATCGGAGAGGAGTGCCGATGGCCTCCAGACGCGGCGTGCACTGCTCGAGGCATTCGGAAAGATCTCCTCCAGAGCACGTTCCACAGGACGAACACCGACTTTTCGAAGATTACGCCCGAGAGCAATGGATTCGTGCACACAGTGATCAGAGCGTATAACCAGCACCACCATCTCGTTCTCAGGCAAGCAGAGTCCAATGCGTTATCCGGTGTAATCGGCATCCCGACTAAAGACATTGTGAACTTCTACGTCAGGCCCGACGACATGTGGATCGCCATCTTGTGTCAACTCAACTTCTAGTACGATGTTGAGTTCCCGCTGTGTGCGTGATAACATGGCTGATCATCCGATGGCAGCATCAACGCTCACGCTGAAGAGTTACGCAAACACTTCGTTGCTCATAAGGGCAAGAAGCAGTTGGAGATCAAAGCCGAGGGTAACCGTTACAGCGTGAATTTTGGCGTGCTTGCGAGGCAGATGACGTTGCTTATCGATAAAACTGTACGCGACATACTATTACTCGACGAGTGCATTCATAAGTTGCGAGCTAAAGCACATCCAGGTTGTCGACAAGGACTTTAAGGCTTGGATTCTTACACAACTCAGCTATGTTTTGTAGCTGGAGGTAAAAAGAAGAAATGTAGCTGATACAGCTACTTGCGTTGATTGAATTGATGGAGCATCTCCGGCTCAACCCAGGCACAAAACATAGCTAAGTCAGCTACCTTTCCCAGGTACTATTTGTAGCTTCCATCATTAGCTACAAAATGTAGCTACAACCCCCCCATGGTGCATGATTACAGCATAGAACAGTAGGACAGTGGATGAGGGTATGCATGGTGGGCCGTGAGGATTCTGTCCCTGAGAATTGGTCCGCTGATACTCTCTTAAGCTGATAAGCGGTGTCAAGCGCCAGCGGAATGAATCTCAAGAAGCAGCTACTTAGCATCATACAGACTCTAGGAACATTTGTGTATGCGTGAGGGGAGTTTTCAAATCAAGCTGCGGGAACTCACTTAATACTACAGGCTGGTCCTGAACCCATGTTTCTAGTGTTTGGATACAACTTTCTTTGCAGGTCTTTTGCTCCTCATTCATCTAATGAGTGAAGTGACATTGTAGACTACAGCTCAGTCTGGTCTGAGATTTAGAGCATGAAGAAACCTAAGGCCTTGGATGACTCAGTAAGTTAGCGACCACTCTGCACTGTACTTACGGTACGTAAGTTGCTGGAAAATAGCAGACTCGCAGGTTACCAGCTGG